TCAGTATCCCCAGTCGATTCCGCAATGTTAAAGACAATCAAGTTATAAGAACGTTGGTGACGGTCCTGAAGTTCTTCAATGAGTTTTTCTCCATTCTCATATCGAATATCTACGCCTACATGTTCACCTTGCGGACTGTTATTTTCCTTCTGATGCTGCAGCTCATTTTTTAGTGTGTTTATTTCCTCCCTTAGTGTGGCCATTTCACTTTTTAATGTCCCAACGATTGTGATGATGTCACATCCATCGCAGAAGAAGTGGATTTTTTTGTTTTTAAGAGCTAGGACGTTTTTTTCATTTCTTGAGATACCAGCACACTCGTAATGTATTGACAAATGACATAAATCACACTGCACTTTTTCAGATTCATTGCACTTCTTTTTACACTTGGAGCAAGACTCAGCCATGTTAAACACGTCTGTTCTTGAACAATGTATTTCTATTGATTAATGTCTATTAATCTATTAATGAACATATTGGTTCCATAATGATGAAATTTCAGCATATTTATTTCAAAATTTTATGTTAAAATCCTCCTTCTGTAGATCCTTATCGTGCCATAGGGTGTAGCCATATAGTGTTACAGTGATAAAACAGAACAGAATTAACAGTAAAACCAGCAAATAACACTAATAGTAGGAAAAACAGCTGCTTAGACTTAGACAATATATTGACTAATTTTCCAATTGAAAAAAACTAAAACTTCAGTTATAAAAATTGTTTTTTTAGATCAGGATTTTCTTTCTTTCAGCTTCAGTATACGTAATCTCCCTCGAATAACAAATTATATAAACCATAGACCTATTACTTAATTAAAGCAATGTGATCCCTTATCAAGAATAATAACCAACGTGAACAAGTTAGTAACTGCAAAACTGATCTAACAGCCGATGAATTTAATAATTATTTTACAAGTTTGGCACAGAACATCGTAAATAAACTTCCAAAATGTCATACGAATTATAGACAATTTTTGGAATAAAAATGAAGATTTAAACCGTGCTTTTAAATAAGTTTCTTTTATTGAAATAGACGACATTATTACAGATTTAAAGGATCCCAAAGGTAGTGATATCTATAGGATAAACAAAAATTCGATACCATATTATTAAGATCTTTAACAAATTTAATTAACATGTGCATTAGATGTAGCGTTTTTCCAGATTCCTTGAAAGTTGCAAAAGTTGTTATTTTTTATAAGAACGGTACCAAAAGTAATCCTGAAAATTTTAGATCTTTTTCCATTCTTCCAATTTTTGCAAAAATTTTCGAATTAGTACTAAATTGCAATTGACATTACATCTAGAAGAACATAATCTTTTTAACAATTCACAATTCGGTTTCAGATCTAAACGATCCACTACTTTAGCAAATAATGCCTTACTCGATAAATTAAATGAGAGTTTTGAACCTAAAGAATTTCTGTGTTTTCCACAACATCTTAATCGAAAAAATTAAACAATATCGTTTAGATGCAAAAAGTGTTGAATTGATAACTTCATACTTAACAAATAGGTCACAAGTAGTTGTAACTGAAAATAAAATATCTCCTAAAAGAAAAGTCACTGCTGGAGCACTGCAGGGTTCAATATTAAGACCGATTTTATTTCTTTGTTACGTAAACGACATATAAGCTCATTTATTTTGTTTGCAGATGACACGACAATTAGTACCCCTAGCAGAAACTTGCAGGAATTAAAGTTGCATTCTTCTGTTACTCGATCTAATGTAAACACTTGGTGCACAGCTAATCAATTAATTCTAAATTACGATAAATGTAAACGTTTAACTTTTAGTTTAAGACCACACCATGAAGATGACACGTCAAGTACAGCGGAAAAATTCTTGGGAGTATATATTGACAGAAAACTTTCGTGGGAATCCCACATTGACTTTTGACAGCAAAACTCTCAAAAAATATTTTCCTTCTCAGGAATATGTATGACAAAGCCTCACAAAAAATTCTTATTACAGCGTACTACGGGCTTGTTCACACGCATATAACGTAGGTATGCGTTGTTGGTTTGGGACCACTCTTACCACAGCACAGTTCTGTGATTTTGCAGCGGAGAGCTTTACGTATAATTTGTGGTATATAGAGGTATATAGAGCAGATTGTAAGATTTTTTTTTCAGAAACTAGTACTTACATTACCAAGTGCATATATATTGCAGAGTCTGTTATACATAAAAAACAATGAGACAAATTTTTCAGTACCGAATCATGGTTATGAAACGCGAGGAAATCATGAATTGTTGCTCGATATCATAGAATAAGTAAAACACGAACTGGATCAACTGTGTGAAATTTTTTAATCATTTGCCAGCTGATGTGCGCAAGTTAGATACACAATCGTTTAAAAAGTTTGTTTCAAAGTTTCTAAAAGTCCTATTACAATATTTCCCTAGCTTAGTAAAATTTTGCCAAGTACAGTATCGATTTATACCTTGAAAACTTGAAACTTGACATAAAATGTCGACACGTTTCGTTAACCAGGCTAGCATCATTAGTGTGGTCACAGTTTTTCTCAGTATTTTATGTCACATTTTATATAACATCAAGTTTAAGACTCTTTATACGACCTGATGATACCAACTTGGTTAATGAAATTACGAAACATATCGGCACTTTATGTCGAGTGAGATGTTTTGGATATTATTGCTGTGACGAACACACCAGGTAATCTAGTGAATTTAAACAAATCTACGTAATATAGTATTTTACCCGTAATAACAATATTTTTTACTTCACATACAGGGTTGCTAAAAAGTATGGAAGCAGTTGAATATCTTGGGAACGGTTAGTTGGATTTTCTTGAAATTTCGGCTATACCAGTGAGTATAGATGTTAAATACATAGTCACTGGCTATACTTAAAAATACTCAAGCTCTGTTTTTTTTTATTTATTTATTTTTTTACTTTAGACTTAACTTGTTTTCAAGATGGAAGGCTAACTTGATTTTTTTTAAATAGCACCAATAGTCAAATCGTCAATTTTTGAATACAAGAATTTTTCTGAATTCGGAACTGTAACACATGCATACACTTTTTTAACTAAAACGACAAATAAAATGATAAATTATTATTTATTGTGAATAAATTCTAAAATAGAAAATTGTAGTCAGCTTTGAAAATATTGTATTCGATTTGTCAATGTGTATTGACAAGCAAACTTCTAATCCAAGTTTAAAAATATTTCAATAAAACGCAAAAAGGGCACCGTTAACTGACTGAAGGAATAGAAATCTTGATGATGGTAAGCCATGGCGACCGACGTTGAAGCAATACTGAAGTAGCAGCAATTTTTAATGAATCCCAATCGAAAACAAGCCTCTAAGTCAACGGTTTCAAAAACATTGCGCAGATTTAACGAAATTGGTACCTAATGTTAGAAATCGTCAAAGAACCGGAAGACCAAAAAGTGCAGCAATTGTAAAAGTATTATTATTCCTCGACTTAGACAAATATTTCCCAACTATGAAAACCCAAATTTACCTACAGAGTCCATCTGGTTCCAGCAAGATGGAGCACCACCTCACTTCTGACGTCAAGTACGATATTACTTGAATGAAACTTTCCCTGAAAGGTGGATAGAACGAAGGGGAGAACATGAGTGGCCAGCTAGGTCAACCGATTTTATCCCACTTGACTTTTTTCTGTGAGGTTATGTAAAAAATCGAGTTTATGTTAATAGACCACAAAGCATCGAAGAACTCTAAGAAAGAATTTTAAATGTGATTGTTGATCTTCTTCCTAATATTCTAACCGATTCATTAGAAAACTTTATGCAACGTATTTACTATTGCCAAGAAGTAGGTAAATGGAATACGTATCGAACATTTGTTGTAAAATTATTGTCTTTTAGATGTTAATTTGATCTTTTTTCAATAATGTAATTTCTTATTTAAATTTTTCAAAAAGCTTTCAGTCATTAAATCGGACTATTGTTATTTCTAAAATATTTTGTAAATTATTTGGAAACAGCATTTAAATCAATATATTACTCTGGCACCTTTATTTCAGTTTATGTAGCCACAGTTCTATCATTTTTACAATGATTGGGCACTAGTATAATTTTTGAATAAAGTGTCCTACGCCAGAACTATGACAGGTTACAATTTTCTGATTTTCAGTATTTTTATTTTGACAATTCATTTTACCATATTGGGAAAAAATAAAATAATGCATGCGTTACATTTTCGAATTCAGACAAAAATACATTATTTAATAGCGGAACATTTGACTACGAGTATAGTTCTCGCTTCCATACTTTTTATCGACCCTGTATACGGTTTATCCTAAAAAATAAAAGTCGTCTTTTATAGTTTGTAGTTGATCCCTGAGATATTATTTAGATACAATAATTTTACCGAAGAAATTTTAATAATTAAACTCTAGTATTGACTTGGGGCTTGTAGAAAATATATCCATATCAATTTTTAGTATATTTCCCCAATACGATAAATCATTATGAAAATTATAAGAACAGGGTAACCAAACATACTACAGCGAAGTTTATAATGTTCTTAAACATCCTTTTAGATTTCCCAACGTACATTTTGTTTCTAACAGCCGTAATAGCTTTGAAGTAATTTGATCTTTCATTTGAGACACAATACCTGTATATCAGATACTGGCATCAAGAACTACTCGAAAGCTTCAAGAAACTAAGTTTTGTGGATACATATCAGTTCCATAGACTGTCTGTAACAGATCTTTACTCTCTGTCTCAACATTCTAAAAAAACATAATCTCCACCAAACAACACTCAAATGACATTTTCCACGTGATACCATTTCTAGAGACTACAAGTTATCGATATTCTAGACTCTCGAATCTAGTGTCATTCGGATATCCCCCATCGAAAAAAACTGACACGTCTGAATAGTAACACATCTGCTTTCTGCGGAAACAACTTTAGCAACTCTGTAATATGCACACCAGCAAACCCCGTTGGATATTAAGCACCCTTTACAACTTGTATGTGGTAATTGTTTCAGTTATGGCACCGTCGTCGGCATCGGTGTCGGCATAACCCGGGACTGCTCCACTCTGATGGTGGCCCAGTACTTCAAGCGCCGCCGCGAATTCGTCGAAATCTTCATCGTGTCAGGGAGCGGCCTTGGAATTGCCACAATGTCCGTCATCATCAGAAGCACTATAGGGTAAGCATTAAGTGAGATGACGCCACGAACAATTATCTCCGACACATCGATTTTGGCTGAAACAATGGAGTCGAAGTCGATAAAGTTTATTGTTGAGTTTGTTGCTTCATTTGATACCGGCGGGTGCATTATTCCATCGGATTAGATTTATCAATTCGAATTTATCGGTTTGTGTCCGTTTCAAATTACGTCATAAAATTGAAGAGCATTAAAAAGCTGAAAACTTTGATTTTTACGAGTGTATTATTCTCGACATTATTGGATTAAGACTTAACCCCTCGAGGAGTTCGCGGTCGTAAATTTTTAACGGGCGGCGTTTAAGGCGCGTTAAATCACTTTTTCTTGCTGTTATCTAATTTATTTTGCTGTGAATGTAATTGCCGTAATGGAGTCGATTAGAGTTATTTTGTTAGTGCATTCGAAGTGTAGCTATAAATTTGTCTGTGTAATGTGACTGGCTGGATGTTCTTCATTCTAATGTGGTAAAAAAAATGTCATACATCGATGTAGTGTTAGTTTCAAAATTAACCAATTAAAATGACAACTATACGTGGATTGCTTAAAAGAGTTCAAAATAATAACAACAATCATCCAAAAACTATACATAAAATTTGAAAGAAAATTAACAAAAACAGTTTTAAAATAATCTATACAAAGTCTTAAAAAATAAATCTACACATTTTATTGTAATAAACATGCATGTTATAGTCTGACGAATAAAGATATTGTTCGTATGTGAGGTGCTATAAAAGAAGGTTAACAAATCTCTACATAAAACTTTAGGAACATTGAAACTGATTTTATATAGATAGATAGCATTCGAAAAGTCGCGTCTAATTTGTAAAAACACAAACCAAGTTCCTGTAAAAGTTCTTTGTAAATATAACAAAAATAATAAAAGATAAAAGATGAAAAAATTTTCAAAATTTACTATACACATTTTCAAGCATTCAGGATCTCTAAAGCCAGTGACATTTTTGTAAAACTGTGCGTTCACCTCAATATCTCAATAATTATTAGAAATGGACAAAAACGTCTAAGACTAAAGTGGTACAATTTTTTGAGGCCATATACTAAAACTAGTTTCAATTATACAGAACGTTCCGTTTTTAAACCATGACACACAACTCAGTTTTTCAAATACCTAGAATGCTGTGTACATCTCTATATATTCTGATTCACCGCTTCTTAACCATAGTTTATTTTTGAAATTCTAATGCCTCGTTCGTATGCTATTCCAATTCTCTTGAACTTTTTAACAATGGAAAGGTTCTCATGAAAAACTTGGAAAGATAAGTAAAAATACGCGCTTTATTGTGATATAAATAAAATTGGGTTTTATAGAAAAATTAAATTACAAGAATATTCGAATATCGATATGTATTTCAGTTTTTCAAATAGAGGACCCTGTATTTTCTTACGGCATCTTATTCTGTTTCTTTTTTCTATTTCTTTTTCCTTAAGTATTTTCTATATTTAAAGTTGATTATTAAGTTATTCAGATGTTTAAATTTTTAGGGGATACACCAACACATTCAGAGAAAGAGAACAAAAAACAGAGAAGATTCAGTACAGTTTGAAAATTATAAAGTTATTTTTTGCAAACACTCTGTACCTATATTAAAATTACCTCTGATTTATCTCTCCGTAAAATATTGCAACACACATCCTAAAAACAACGTGATTGCGATTTTTTGTGAACTCTTGCATTGCTAAAAAATTCAAAATAATTAGAACAACGTGGCAACATAGCAAAGAAATTTCAAAAATAAACTATGAATATAAAACCTATAAAGTGGCTTATAAATATATGTAAAAATATGTAATGTATTCTATTTGTGCCATGCCTTGAAAACAAAACATTCTGTATAGTCTAAAATAACTTTAATTTATGCTACTCAAAGAACCATTCAACTTTAGTTTTAGCTTTTTTTCTATCTTTAATAATAATTAATAAGATATCAAGGACCGTTACTTATATGGGCAATAAAATGACAAAAAAGTATCTACGGTTACTGTTACTTAAATTAATTACATAGTTGCATTAATTATAGGAGAAGAGATCATGATATTACATCTGCTTACGAACATTTTAATTTTATTAATTGCAGTTAATTAATTAAGATTATTACGAGTAGTACCTAGTTTCGCGAAGCGGTAGAGAGTTAAGGTGGTTACAAACGTTCTTTAAATGGGCGTATAAAATACGTGATTTGTAAAGGCTTGCGTAACATCACTTATAAATCCATTAAATAAAGTAAGCCCAAGATTTTTATACCCCACTAGTGGAAGAATGCAACCTAGATTGGTGATCATGGTACTTTTTTTATTTATTTATTTGTTTTATTTAATATCTATATACTGAGATCCACACCACAGAAGAAATATCAAGCTATTACATAAACCAAATTCTGAAAGCTTATTTAATGATATCTAATGATCTACAACATCGACCGGCTTTAGAAAGAGGTGTATAAATTCTCCTAAAAATAATGAAGTCAATTTCGGGTATTGCTAATAATTGCTGCTAGTAAATCTTTCTTTAACAAATTTATGCTGGCTATTTATAATTTGGGATGATAATGGCTGTGAAAACATAGTGTGCAAGATTTTAGCAAAATTGATACCGACAAAAAAATAATCGGTGGCTAGTTGCGTCTGATTTACTATCACAACTGAAAAGCGATTTTTCAAGATTTGGAAAGATGCAGTTCGCAATAATTAGATTATACAAATAACGAGATTCACACAAGCAAAAAGTCCGTGATAAGAAATGCAAGTATTTGATTCGGTTCAGAGGTAACATTAGGTTTTAATCTTTTCACAGTCAATACTATCCTAGATAGAATGAGAAGTATATGATATGTATTCGACGAATAAATACTGCTGAATAAATCTGCAAATCATATCACAATACCGTCTGGTAAAACAAATTCTTTACTTCTATTTACTTTTCTTTAGAACCAATAGATGTTCAAAAGTTAAGATCACTATGATTGGGTTCCGTGCGTTATTGACAAACTTATTATTATTAGATATTCTCGTATTCTAGATTTGATATTTTTGCGAATTCGGTTGGCCATGCTGGAATAACATTGTAATTTAGTTTTTCTATGCAATTTTCTACACTGATTTTTCACCCCAGTGATTTAACTCTTTTTAGTTCCCGAACGTAAACTAAAGAATCAATTCCGTGGGGTGACTGGCTGCTTTCATATTTTCTCGATCAGTCATGACCCCTGGAGTACGAAAAAATCGTTTTCCCGTTTCCGTCTGTCTGCCTGTCTGTCCCCTGTCCGTGACGATTTTTCTTAGATTGATAATCTCCGAAACGACAGGACCGATTGTTGTCAACTTTTATATGTGCATTATGAATTTCATGTAAATAGTAAAATGCTAACTAAACTTTGTCTAATTATCCCCACTAACAATGTGATGACGTCACCTCAAAATTCTACACAGTAAATGGGTTTTAAATATTATAAAATAACATAGTCCGCCACGTGTAGTTTATGAATCCGTGTTAAGTCAAAATTTTTGGGAAAAAAATTAGTCTAAAGAGTTTAGACAGTACTTTCCTCGCTGTCGGAAACATGACGACTGCATGCTTATTATGTTTTTTTTTCGCAGTGGATTTCAAAGAATTCGGTTTTGTAGTTCCTGATTAAATCAATAAAATAAGTAATAATAATTGAGTCACCCCTGTATATGCAAATTCAAAAAATATGAATGGAGTGATAAATCACAAGTACAGACTCATCATATTTTCGCAGTTTATATAGGATTTATTCGGCAAACTTTCGAGCTGACGTCATCAATTTTTTGAAGGAGATAAGCAAATATATTTTGACTAAACATTTATTATGCTCTTAATCTTAAAACATCTGCAAGATTTCAAAGTGTTCGGTTCTGTAGTTCCTGAGTAAATCAGTAAATTAAATTTACGCATTCATTACTTTTTTTTTGAGTCACCTACATATGCAAATCCAAAAAATATGAATGGAGTGAAAGATCACAAGTACAGACTCATCATATTTTGTACATTTTAGATATGATTTATTGGGCAAACTTTTGAGCTGACGTCATCAAGTTTTTGGAGGGGATAACCAAATATATTTTGACTAAAGATTTCTGATGCTCTTTATAGCCTTAAAACATCTGCAACATTTCAGAGCATTCGGTGTTGTAGTTCCTGATTAAAAACCACGAAAACGACGGCACATTGCCAGGAATCTTAGAACATCAAACACAAGGAAGCAGTCTTCATATTTGTTTATTAGAAAATCGTCATAGAAATCAAAATAAATCTACTAGAAACTGGCGGAAATATTTTGTATTCAAATATTGTTGGTTCTTGAACTGAAACCTCTAATTCTCATTCTCCAACTCAAAAATGTCCTGAATCGTTAAATTAGATACTGACATTGTAACAAAACTTGCAGAGATTGAGTTTCCACATTGTTAAACATTGCAAATGATTATTATTTTCAACATAACAATTGTTATGATTCTTCTTATTATTATTTTCTAAATTCTAATGATGAAAATGGTGGTTGCAAAAAAACAATTTCAAACATATTCAAAAATGTATCGTTATCCTAAATTGTAGGTTTTTTTTCATAAATATGAAACAAAATCACAAACTTTTAGTAACTTTTATAAGGACAGTTTTATTCTTGGTGTTTAATGAATTTGCTAACCAAACTACTTTCATATAACCTAGCTGATGATAAAAATCCCAGCCAGAGGCGGAACATATTTTCATCATTAGATGTTAATAAAATTTTGTTCTCTCTCATCTAAACTATCCTAACCATCTCCAACATCGTAGTTAAATAAAGAGTTTTCGTTTAATTGACGAATTTATCCTGAATAGTTCTAGTAAGCAAATCCCCGTAACTATTAAGATGAGGTGATAATTTGTCGACAATTTCAAAAATTTGTAAAATGGTCAACTCTGTACCTACATTAATAAGATACTTACACTCAAAGATACCTACAATGAAAATTAGGCAGCATTTGCGTTTACTGCTTCAAAAAATTCACCTCTTTTGAGCAAATTTAGTAAATAATATGTCTGTTATAGAACATATTACGCATCGCTCCATGAAAAAAATCGGCATCGAGATAAAGCCAGAGGCAATCCACAATTAAGAAACATCCGGTATATCAAATTCCTCATGACACTAATATCATCAAATTAACGTAACTGGACTTTTCCCCATCAATATAGTTCTTGTAACACTACTACGTTTGATAAATTGATACAAGATAATAATTTTGCAATCTAAACTCTGGCTTCTCTCTTACATAAAATCTGACCGCCAAAGCGAATAAATATTTTAATAAGAGTTCTATCCGCTTTTTTAACGTGCCTTATTTATTCCGATCTCCTAACTCTTCAAAAGGATTTCATGCGCACCATTATACTGAATACCCCATAATTAAATAATAACAGTTTCTGCTTGTCCATGTAAGGACACAAAATCTCGACATTTGAGCGAATGGTGATGAATGCGTTCGCATCGAAGTGTAGAACATAATGGCGCGCGTTTATGGCAAAAGTCTCGCCGTTGGATTGGCATTATCTGGCTCAATCCACCAAGTGGAATGCCTCTGATTTACCGAGCCGCCTCTTCCGCTTGACCGGAATCGTAGAGAGCCGTCGAGGCAATAATTTTTAAGGATTTAACCACAACATCCAATTAAATCTCTTTTTTGTGCAGGGCTCTCGGCTGGCGACTCGGACTCCAGGTGGTAACCGGGGCCATCTCTGTCACCTTCATCCTGGGAACGTTTTACCGCTCCGCTTCACTTTACCATCCGCAAAGACGTGCCATCCTTCACATCAAGAACCAAAAGCGCAAGATTAAGGACAAGAATAAGATCGAAGATAAGATTCCGTTCTTCGATTTCAGTACTTTGAAAAGCAAGACTGTTAGGATTTTGTTGATATCGACTGGAATTAGCGCCTTTGGAATCAATACACCTTTGTTTTATTTGGCGTATCAAGCGGAAGTGGAAGGTCTGGGCGATTCGACGGTTTTTTTGCAAATGTATTTGGGACTGGCGTGGACGGTAGGATGCGTTGTTTTTAGTACTTTGGTGCTACACAACTCGACGGAATGTCGGATAGCAAGACAATATTTGTGCCAAACTGCCGTCTTCATGTGTGGCTTGTCCATTTTGGCCTTCACGGTTGTGAGCGGGAACTACCATGCCTATGTGATGTTTGCGTGGATTTATGGTGAGAAATTTAAAATTTGGTCTACAAACTATTCTAACACCGTCAGAATTATACAAAGAGGGTGGAGAATTAACATTTTTTGCTAAACTATGTGTAAGAGAAAATCTTGGCTACATATATTTCACAATATTCTCCTCAATCACTTTTAAAATTGTAGAAATTAATTCATTTCGTATTAAACCCTTTATTCATTTGTCATTGTGTTATGGATACAGTATTTCATCTCACTTGATCTAGGAAATTACATACTTCAAAGTTCTACGGATATAGGAAACAACTATATTATATTTATATTTATATTTCAACTTGATCGTGTTGCCGGAAATAAAAATTGGTCGAAGTTTATTTTTAGACAAAACTTTCCTCGCTGCTGAAGTACAAGTCCAACAAATCCCGCTTCTAATTAGGTTTTGCGATGCTTGTTTTGTGCAAATTGCAAGGAATTGTGCAAATTACACAACTACGGACAATGTAAAGTATATTTAAAGCAGATAACTAAAGGGAAAAATGGCCTCTCAGCAACAAAAACAAACTTTAGTTAATTTCGCGTCGAAATTTGTTTGATTTGAACGTGTGTGTTGACTCAAAACATACAGATAGACAGACAGGCAGACGGAAACGGGGAAAAGTGGCCATTCGTCCGATAAACTCGATTAATATACTTCCTTAGCTTACGCTCGGGAAGTAAAAAACTATTTCTGAAATGCAATAAAATAACACATTAATATTTGCACAGCTGGTATTAGGGGTTAATGCAATATTTTTTCTTAGAAGTTATGTACCTTAAAAAATATGTACAAAGGGGGTGGTTCCGATTAACAATATCTATCGTCTTCATTTCCGGTGAGACGGGATGGGGCTACAATTAAATTTATGATCTCCGTAATCAGTCTTCATCAGTTGAATAAAAGCCGGATACATATTGCGTTTTATATCAAGGTGAAGATTACCGCGCACGGTTCCGAAATTCTACAGCAAGAAAAGCAGCTACAAATTGCAGTTATTTAAGTCTCACGATATGCGTGATTTACATTGATAAACTGGCGTCTACGTCTACACAGTTTAAATTCCAACTAAACAAGGAATTAATGAAATTCCTTAAGAAATAATGTAACTAAACTAAGGGTTTTAAAAACTTAAATTATGGAAGTAGAACAAATGCTTACAATTCGTATATAGTTATTATACTTTGAATTAATGAGACGTTCAACTTAAGAGGAAAAAAAATTAGTTGTGCATTAGTGTTTTTGCCGCAGGAAATCACGACACGCCAATGAATAAAATTAATGAATTCTAAATAAATGAACAGGAAAAGGAAGATATATAGATGTACAGCATGCTGCGCTTTTAAATAAATTTGTTAACTTTATTATCAAGATAAACATTGGGGGATTCTTGCCGTATATATACGTAACTACTTAGGTACGCTGTGAATGACAGCAAGCCCATATTAAATTTATTAAATTTGCCCGCCGCTACAGTTTAAGTAACTGAAAAATTCAGAACTCATAGCAGATTATTTTTAGATTCTAAAAAAATTTTGTCGAAAGTACTACTAAGTACTACTTGAAGGATGATCTGTGTAAACAATTCCAGGCGGTTTTTCGACAAATGCAACCTTCGATTCATTATTACATAATATGCAGTTATTCTAACTTTAAACTTTCCATTACGACTGAATTAATAAAAATAGTTCATCTTTATGAAAAGCAAAAAGTACGACGGCAAAATTTAAAAATATATGTATTTATAATAAACTAAACTTTTGATATTCAGTATCTGATTTTTTTATTAATTTAATGATGAATGAAAAGCAAAATTCTAGGAAATAATAAAGTATGAGATCAAAACATTTCCTGGACCTACAGATTATCGCAGGGAAAATTCATACAGGATGTTAAAACAATAATAAAAGAACGAACGTCTGACGTTGCACATTGCAGTAAGACGTGCTTAACAATATTCGAGATTACATGATAAGTTTGTTAGGGGTGTAAAATGCATAAACTTTATTTAGCCTTTTACAGTCTTCACGATATTCGTGAAGAACTTAAAAATTCCACATAAGTATCCATGTGTCAAGTATTATGGTATTTATTTAAATTCTTCTGACATTTAGGGTCCACCACCTGGTGATTCATTTACATGTTTGATTGAAGTCTACGCTTTCATATGTAACGCGCCAATGAGTCCTGTCTGTAACAAAAGAGAACTAAATATTATATTACAACTCTAAATTCTTATCTTCGACAGCTCTGTACAGTCGCGGCCCTTTTGAAGTTTCCAAGAATTTTGGCATTGTGAATTTGCCTTAAAACTGAATTTTCTAAAACATTATTTAGTGTAATGTAAATCAGTGTCGGGAAGACTGCAAAAATAGCTACTAGAAACATTATGCGTTCACGAACTTTTTAGATCAGAGTCGGCTTAATGAGTTCCAGTTCTTCCTTGATCTTGTGGCCAACTTGTAGAAGACGCGAGTTTGTCTGAAATAACCCACTGCTGAAGAGAGCAGGGTTGATCTTGGAAATATTACAAGTGTGGGACACGTGTCGGATCTTTTCTTCGTTATATTTTCCGAGAAAACACTGATCCTTGTCATACTTCGAACGTTTACACAGTTATTTGATACAGCTTCTCAACAAAAGTTATGTGTAATCAAATTACTTAGTTAAAATAAAATCAGTACTACTGCAAAATTTTCAAATCTTTATTATTATCAATTAAACTAATAAATAAAAATTAGACACATTTAACATTAATATTTAATTGCCGCACCATTAACATTGACGACTCTTTGAAGCCGATTTGGCATTGACAATACTTCAGTCGGTATTTGATGCCATGTATCGACGATACTTCGCACTAACTCTTCTCGACTTTGTGGCAAAATTTTGTTATCAATTTCCCTGGCCATGATACCCCAAATATTTTCTATCGAGTTTAAGTCTCGACCCTTAGCCGGACAATCTAAGGTTGATTTTCTCTCAAGAAATTTTAAACTACATGCGCCGTATGTATTGGAAAATTGTCTTGTTGGAATACAAAATTATTACCAAAAACAGGTAATTCCGAGGACAACATAACTTGCTGAAGAATATTTTGATAAACCACAGCTGTTAGCAAGTGACAAATGTTTTGTGTTGACAAGTTAGTTTAAAAATAAAAAAATAAATGGAAGTATTCAAAATCATAATAGTTAATAGAAAAATAACTTCATTACAACAGTTCCCCAAGCAAATTTTTGATTCTTTAGAAAGTAAAAGAAAACAAGAAAATGTCATTTTATTGAAATTTTCTGTAACAACAATAAGAAAATATTCTGTATAATTCAGTTGAACATTCTGTAGGGTCTGATATTTGTTACATTTTGAATTATTAAACAATTTTAACTTTAAATTACAACAAATTCTGGACGTGAAAACCCTCTCCTTGTACACAACCTAGCCCTTCGCCTTCTGCATTGGCCAATTTTGTAAAACACCTGCATTATTATAAATTTCTTTAATTTTGTTTGTTATCGTACTCCGCAATTCTTCCGAGTCATTTAAGGGTGTTGCATAAATTGATTTTTTTATAATTATGTAGCCACAAGAAATCACAAGAGTGAAATCACATGTTGTAGGCCGCCAGTTGTTGGGTACCTATATTGGCACTAATAATCCTATTGTCGTAAAACCATCAAAAAATTGTAGAGATTAAACAGAGTAAATTATCTAAATGTAGGTATCCCAAAATTACCTAAAGCCTCAACTAGAATATTTGCCATTTGCTCTGTGGAGAGATTTTTGGTTCCAATTACAGAATCTTTAGAAGATATCTGAGGCAACAATTTAATGATATTTGGATAGGACGAGGTTCTACTCATCCTTGACCTTCTCGAACTCCGGATCTCACACCACGAGACTATTTTTTACGGAGAGTTTTTTAATAAAAGGTTTACCAAATACTCTTTAATTATATTCTTGGACGTCCGAATCGTATATCGGAAGCTTGCAGATCATTTGGTTTCGCACTATTTAGTATTTACAAGAGTTAGAAGATCTTATGCACAGAAAGAGCGAAAAGAATGGAATCTTTGTTTAATTAGTTCAGTTTTGTTTTATTATGACTTTCTTTCAAATTTAATAACCTGTTTATATTCATTTGACAAATTACTGATAGTTGAAGGCAAACTTGGATTCAAATTAATTTTTAAAAATTTGGTGAAATCCACAAGAACTCTAATCGATATTATGGATTGTCACCCTAAATGACTCGGATGGGTCATCTTAGCTGAATAACCCTTTATATTTATATTATACGCCCGTTATTTCCAATAAAAACATTTATTACATCAATATTTTCGTTTAGAATAAATTTAGTTTTCAAATTTAAATACTTCTAACAGAAGCTATAAAAATTGTCAAACTTGCTAAAATAAATTTTGACATGAAGTAACTAGATTTGTATACGCAAAAATTATCTTAATAAATTCATCACAGCCGACTTGACACAACTTTTTAACAAAATATGACACTAATGTATTCAGAAAAAAAACTACAAAAACCTCTGAAAAAATACATATTAGTGTCCTAAAAAAATTGAATGTCGTAGACAAAACAAATGAACGTTAAATATTGATTTTTCAAATGAGATCGAAAAAATACGACAGCTGCGAACTTGAGATTTTTTCTTCAAACACAAGGTACAAGGCACATTTAATCATCTCTGAAAAAAAAATTATTATGGTGGCTCGAAATTTCAGATTCTGTGATATATACTAATAAGTTTAAACACTCATGTAGATATATTTAATATAAAACCTGAATGATGTTAAATAAATTAAAGGCAACCAAAATCTGATGATGTTATACACAACACAATAAAACTTTTACTGAAACTTTCCATAATATCTTAGCCAAGATTGAAGTTTCTGACAGCTTTTGAATTACAGCGCTATCTAATTAATTAAATAAAAAATACCCCAATTTTGTTTTTTTTTACAGGTATATTTTGTGGAGGTTATCACTACTCCCTCAAAATGTACACTTACGAAAGAGTCCGTGCCCGGAATTTCGCCCGGACCTGGGGCTTCGTCCAGTGCTCCCAAGCAATACCCATCGTAATAGGAGTACCATTTTCCGGTAACAACCCCTCGTCTTCGCAGTCTCTTAAAACTTCATAATTTTTTTACAGGCTACATGAACGAAAAATGTGGCGACCGTGCCGGCTACTACTTTAGCTCAACCTGCGTCCTGGTGGGCAGCTTAACCCTCTTCCTCATCGACTTACACAGACGAAAAATATCGAGACACAAACACACTCGAGAGAACGGAACGCGCCATTTGTGTGTCTCTGAAACGTGCCCTCAACGCCGCAAGCTGTCATTTTCGCAAGAACCCGAGAACGACGCTGGAGTGACTGCGGGGGCAGCGGCGGCGGCGCTGGTTCTGGGGGCGGATTTGGCCCCCAACCAGCCCCCCGGCCTCATGGACAATATAATCGTGTCAAATGACAAGCCCGAACTGACGTGCATCTCCGAAGAGGGCATCGCTGACATGGATCTTCCCGATAATCTCTTAGACGACTTAGACTACATAGGAGACTGTATCACTTCGTGTAATAAAGTAGAGAATTATTTAATGCTTAGTGAATTTGAGAATAACTTAATAGCGGAAATGCCTGTGATATTGGACAGGAAAGGTAGGCGGTGGTCGCTAGCCAGGTCCAAACTTGCACAAAACGAAGACACCACCGAGGAGGAGAATGGGGTTGGGGTGAACAATTCCAAGTGGAAAGTATTTCCCAATCGTGTTATTACTGTCATTGATGAATCGTCCGTTTAGTCATATACATAGTTCGTTTATTACTGCCACTAGTTTTGTAAAGACTACCTCATAGATAATGGCAAGTAAATAACACTCATGTGGAGAGTACAATAACGAACTCGGTGTCCAGTATGTAGTGGAAACGCTGTGTTACTATTATTTTGTAGTTATTTATATTAAATATATTATTCATCTAAAAAAAATTGTTTTGTTCTTCGTTTAGTGTACATCTCATACCACGGTTTCTTGAGCATCCACAGGATATGTCATCTACAACATAGACCGCCCCGCCCCCCTTCTAACTTCTTATTTATAAAAAATATATATAGTATTTTTAAATGTGTAGTATCAAAATAATACCTATTTCTAAAAATATTTAAAGTAAATTATTATGGGATTATTTTATAATATCGTATGCAAAAAGTTATATAAATAAACGTTTTAGGATTAGTAGAAAATATTTTAAAATGTGAGTTAATTTTATTTTTTACAAAATTACCCGTCCGTATGCATGGCGCAAAAAAGTTTAGAAATAATGACTAGTAAAGCAGTATTCTGTGACTTCAGTGTTAAAGCAGGCAAAAATACTCTGACAACCCGTTAAGTTTTATTACATGAAAAAGTTAGTGAGTTTTTAACAGTTTAGATGTGGTTTTGTCATCAAATGTTTCGACGGAGCTTCGTATAGTTTCAAGACCAGTTTTGCTGAAAACTGCCTTTTTTTTTCACATCACAGGACACTAACTTAACACACACATTAACCAACAAACGTACATTTTCCTACTTCTATTGAACAATACTTTCGTTAACAATGTACTTTTTGGTACATAATCCCACTTAATCATTGTTTACAAGTGTTGAGTTGTACCAGTGGAGGCTCGTGACCTTTTGAAATGGGAGAACATAATTTAATTGATGAGTTAAATATGAAGATATAAAACAGGGTGTTATTACCAATTAATAGACGAATTGTCTGACGGAAATAAATACAAAAATATATTCAATAAAAGTAAAAAAGTATTTGTCCACATACCTTTTTGCCTTCAGCCAAAATTTTACGTTATGGCATCTAAAAGTTCATTTTGGACAGTTTTAGACGTTCCTTTAAAAACCGTTGCGTCTTTCAAATGATCTGATAAAGCAGAGTCTAGTTCAGACCTCGAAATTTACTTGGATTTTGTAATTCCCTACTTTCATCATGTCCACGTAAAGCAAGTTCGAACACCCCACAAAATTTTATACACATTATCAATCGATCGGCGTATTACCCTAAAGATTATACTCCACTAAATGATGCAAATGACTCGCACTTCTTTCATGTTTTGTTGCTCTTTCCTTTAAATGTTGTAGATCATCCACACTAGTATTACCTAATCCAGGGCAATGGTTTTAACTCATTACTGAGGAGACACACAAAACAAAACAATTTATTATTTTTTTCACAACCGCACATCCAAGAATATTTATCGCACGTGTTGCGTCTATTAAAATATATGTGAAAGTCTCCCGTTTTGCCATGAACACTTTTTTTATTATTAAATCTGGGATGACTCTCCCTAAATTTTTTACTAAAAGTTTAGCGTCGTGACACAGAGAATGATTTTTTATTAAATATTCAACCGAAAACATTATTTTTATTTAAAATCAAACAATTTCACCGCGCAAAATGAAAATTAAAACCCGAAATTGAGTTACTGCTGCTTGGCACGGTCCGAACTGGACCCGATTCCAATCCAATATCGCTACTGGACGCACGGTTTCCATGGCAATAGTGTAAACAAAACGTCTAAATCAGGCATGATTTGATCTCCGTCTCTGGCTTTTATCAACACTTCATTAGCAACATATCATATATCCAAGATACAACATTTTTAGATGTAAGTGGATGTAAGTTTTGATACATTGTATATAAGTGAAACCCCTGGCACCAGCCGCCCCTGAGTTATACAGGATGTTTTTGAAATAAACGTACAAAAAAATCGGAAACTGGTTTCAGAAAGTAGATAGCAGTAACAAGAAAAAGTTTTAATAAAAGCCTTTCCGTTTTCGAGATAAAATTGATTGAGAGTTCGATCAAAATTAGTTATGCACTACTGACTGCAAAGGTAGGTATCTTATCAGTTGTTAAATAACATTCATCATAGCTACACTATAAATCAAATGGGGAAAAACTGGAACGCTGATTGTTTAGCAATAATCATGACACGTTCAATTAATGTTTTGAAAATACATATAGGTAGAAAAAATGGCAGCATATTCAAATAATGAGATGACCGACTTGGTATTAGTGTATGGACGAGCGTATGGAAATTCACATGAGACTCAACGTCTGTCCAGTGAAGCATTCCCTAATAAAATATGCCAGATCATAAAACATTTAGTGCCACCGTTCAGCGTCTTCGAAAAAATAGAGAATGTCGTCCACGCACCATAAACCGTGGTCGTGACAAAACACAGGCTATTCTGCATGTTGAACCGGATGTTTTAGACCTAGTAAAAGACAATACAGATCTTATTGACCGAAGATTGGCTTATCGGGTAGGAGGGGTAGAAGTTTGTTGTCTGGCGAACACTGAACCTCATACGTACCAGCGCGTCCAGGCATTAAAACCGGAAGATTTACCCCGTCGCATTGCATTTTGCGAGTGGTTACTTCAAAAAAAAATAAAGAACAACCAAACTTCGTCGGAAAATTGTTGTCAACAGACGAGGTAGTTGGCAATTAATGTGTGTCATGAAGGTTTTGGACAAATTTCAAAACAAAATATTTTATCAAGAATAGAATGGGTTCCTGAAGTGACTATGCGTGCCTGTTAATTGTAACATACGGATTACCGCTGGCAAAATCATTCCTAAAGCAACGTATCAGTGTTGCCACCCAAAAGGGAACTGCAGTTAGCATTTTGGGGCTGGTGCCTTTCAAATTGATAAATTAGATAGATACTTAACTTAAAGATCTATTATCTTCAATGACACCCAAATGTGTCCTAGTGCATCGCATTCAGTTTTGAATCGTGTTCAGATGAATCTTGCGGATCCTGGGAATTTATTCTTTGAAGATTTGTTTTCTTTTTGGTTTTCCACCCTTTATCGAGCACTCAACGAACTCCAAAAATTTCAGTTGGTCGTTATTGACGTATATTTGAGGGATTGTCTTCTTCCAATACAAATGGTATTTTCTACCTCCAACCCAGTCTTGCACAATGCAAGAGGCTAGATCTGGTGAAAATATTATTTTGCCACTGGTACTGATTTATAAAATTTTGCAGTTTTTGTTTTTCTGTGTACGTTATCATCTAGAGATTCACCCCTCACACTCTCTGCATCACTTCAGCCCCGGAAATGGTACACTAAACCAATTAAATAAATAAATTCTGTTCTTGCTAGATTTTGTTTTCAAATTTGTCCCAAAACTTTCGTGACATACGTTACTTAGCCCTCCAAAACAGAATTAGGAAAAAACATTACTTCCACAGACCACAAAGATAGACTTAACTGACTGCCAATTTCGTAAGCATGAGTTCAAAGAGGCCTCGAAGAAGTCAATGGGCATTGCTGCTTTCAATTTCTCCATAAAAATTCCAGACGTTCAAAAAAGCATAAGATAGTCTGATTTTCCATCACAAAATTTTTACCTACCAGCGTTTCACCATTTTGTCCAAGCAATCCTACGAGCTAATAAACAGACACTTTTTATGTTCCCAAAATTAAATTCAAATTATTTCACCATATTTCCCATTTTGTTTTATCAGGAATAAAAAAATACATTCGACATTTTTGGTACGACAAGAAAGGAATTTTGTCATTTTATGACCGCTATGATTTTACAAACGTAAATTAATTATATTTTTTTACACCTACCATTTATTTGCCAGTGGTGTAGAAGAGGCAAAGATAGAGGTCAATTTTCCTGTAAAACCAAGGTTTATTTCAAAGAGTTCACAGAACCCTCCAGTTTTTTCGTAGATGCTTTTCAATAACCCGAATTTCATTACTCAACACTTCACAACTAATCGGACAGCTACATTTTGATTACTCAACGCTTCAGTAGCTAATCACAAAAACAGACTTACAAAGCTTTTATGGATTAGAGACTACGCAAAAAGGATTTTTTTGGTAAACTGTTCTCATAGCAGTTTGTAGAACTTTGTGATGAATGTCAGATAAATGAGAACCTTATTCTATGTTGAGAAGCACACTTACGTTAACAACAACATAAAACACCGAGGCGCATTCGAAACACAAGCCACTTACTTTTAAAACAAGCGTTTATAAGATATTAGCCAACAGTCGAGAACATTTATTACAGATCAGATTCATAATGAAAGCTCCAGATGATATCTAACAACTAAGGTAAAACGAATTTTGTTTCATCTACGCAAAAAAAAAGTTCCTTATCATTTGTAACTGGTGGATCTATTAAAAGAAAGAAAGTATCTTATCATGGTACCCTTATATCCAATTCTAAATCACATGTTTGTGAAATGTTTGAAGTGAAAACGCCATTTTCGCTTATAATGAATGTTCATAATCGCATTACGCGTAATTTATCGAAGAAGCGGTCATTCTGGCTGTAGCTTTGATTGAAGATGGTTAGACCCAACGCTATGTGGCCAATCTGTTGGGCGTTGATCGTTCGACCATTTCTAAACTAATGCAAAAGTACCATACTACTGGAAGCATGAATAGAAGACTAGGACAAGGTCGTAAACGGAAAACATCACAACGAGACGACCGATTTTTGCGCTTAACAGTACTCAGGTCGCGACACTGCACAGCAAAAATGCTCCAAAAAGAGATTTTAGCTGCCCGCGATGTGGTGCTGAGTACTCAAACGGTACGAAATCGTTTGCGAGAAGTTGGTATGCGTCCAAAAGTACCTGTCAAAGCACCCTTGCTCACCAGAGCACCCAAGGTAACGCGTTTAAAATTTGCGCTAAATCATCAGCATTGGAATGTCGAGGATTGGAGCAATATACTGTTTGCAGACGAATCTCGTTTTTGCCTGTATTTCTCAGATCGCCGTATGCCGATGTACAGACGACCTGGCAAGCGATATTTGCCTATCAATATTCTTCCACAAGTGAATTTTGGAGGAAGCTCTATAATGTTTTGGGGTGGCATTTCCTACACCGGACATACTGAATTGGTGGCGCTACCAGGGGCTCGTTTAACAACTACACGGTATATTACCGATGTTTTGGAATCTCATGTTATGCTCTATGGAGCCTAGATTGGGCTAAATTTTACATATGTATATGCACGATAATGCGCGGCCTCATACAGCCCACACTGTGCAACGATATTTAGAAGAGGTTGAAATTCCGCTTCTAGCATGGCCAGCCAGGACTCCCGACAGGAACCCCATTGAACATGTATGGGACTATGTGAAACTGAGGATAAAAGAGCGAAGATTGATTCTTGGAGATCTTAATGCCATGTAGAATACCATCGTGCAAGAATGGGAA